ATATTCGCGAAGTTATGCAACTGTCAGTCCTTTAAGCAATTCTGATTGAACGGGGTGGGCTGGGGGGCATTCTTGAGATGTAATGCTAATGGGGTTAATTTGTATTAGAATTATTTTTTAATGTTTTAAGCAGTCGCTATGTACTGTGACTTGCTAGATGCCAGGTTGCTAAACAGAAGGCAAGAGCTATCCTGGATGAATATGCTGACCTAGCTTGCATTACAGAGACTTGGTCGGATGAGGCGGTGTGTGCTTGTGTGTGTTAATCTCACTCAGCGTTGTCCACCAGGGTTCTCTAAGCTAGCTAAGCTCGTCTCGTGGCGGTGGTGTCGATGGGAGTTCCCTCAGCTTTTTGTCCTGGCAATTTTAACATCTACGCTGAGACCGCTTTGTGGCTCAGGACTTCATGCCCTCCATGGCAACCCCGGGTCTGTCCCAAATGCTATCTGGCCCCATCCGGGCTGCAGGACACACTTTAGACCTGGTTTTCTGTTCTTGAGTAGCTGTTAGTGACCTGGGAGTGGAGAAACTCTATGCTGTTCCATTGACATGGATAGATCATTATCTGGTGGGGTTTCGACTCCCTGAAATGCAGAGTCTCTGCAGGAGCGGACGGCCGATTAAGATAGGAGGCTGATGCATTCAACTGGTTTCCTGATAGCTCTTCAGGAGTTTCCTGTCGCCTTAGCAGGTGATTTTGTTAAAGGTTTGATTGACATCTAGGGAAAAGGCCAGGACTGTTGACATAATTGCTCCTAAGCGCTCCCTCCCACGAAGAAGAGTCAAACTGGGGCCCTGGATTACTGGAAAGCTGATGGCAGTGAAACAAGTAGGATGGAGAGCAAAAATGATGGACAGCTCAGAGATGGCACCTATTGGAAGCAGCAAAGTCAGTCTTCTCCGCCACCATTGGGTCTGCACAATCATCTGATGAAGCTCTTTTGACTGGTCAAGGGCTTATTACATGCTGGCCAGTAGGAAGAGAAGGCAGACCATACTATAGTTATGTACCCATGTCCTCTGCTTGTCCTGTTCTAATGGGTAAATTTCTGTTTTGGCAGCCTGAGGGTGTAGACAGGACCCTTGGAGAGGTGGAGACTACCATGTCCTTTGCCCTTCCTGGCTTATAAAAGCTACCGCAGTGGGGCTGGTTGAGTTGGTAGGAGTGGTGAGTACCTCCTTGCAACAAGGTTGGATGCCAGCATGCTCAAATGAGGCAGTTGTAAGACCATTGCTGAAAAAGCCCTCCTTGGATCTCAATGGTATTGGAGAATGACCAGGGAATCTGTGCAAAATGCTGGAGCAAATGGTGTTCCCGGATGAGACATTATTTCAGTCTGGCTTTATGCCTGTGTGAAGGTTCATTGTTCGGGGCTTCCCGCTCTTCCCCCTTTGGTGGATGACCTACGCTGGGAAATAAGACAGCGGGAGTGTGTCCCGGTTGGTCTTGCTGGACTTCGCAGTAGCTTTTGTTAGCATCAACTATGGTATCTTTCTGGGCTGTCTCTCTGGGAGAGGTTTTCCAGAGTTTGGGGTTTGGTGAAACCATGATGTGGATTGAACCCAGCTCACTCTCTCCCTTACACATGAATTTAGCTTTTAAATATTGTTTTTTTTAATTATGAAAGCCACTTTGGATCCTTTTAGGAGAAAGACAGCATATAAATATTTCAAACAAATAAATACATAAATAGGTTGCTACAAGAGGTTTTTATTAACTTGGAAAAAAGTAGGTTTTAACAACAAAAATCCAACTGAAAAAAAATGCCTTTGCAACCTCTAGTAGCCAAACATACAATTAAAAATAATTTGCAATACTAGAGGCTGGGCCAGGCATGTTGGGTGTAGTAAAAGTTTCCCCTGTGGCCCATAGGACACAAAGACTTGCTGCATAAACTTTATCCCCTAAAAAGCATTAATTCTTTAAAAAATGGTTCTCTGGGTAACAAACATGCTGCAGGTTGCCCACTTCTTATCCCTTATCTCCTAATGGCTAAGACAGAGGAGACAAGACAGAGAAACACAAGGCAGTGGCTCCCTAAATCTTATTATCATAATACAAAACCTTGTTGTTGTTTAGTTGTTAAGTCATGTCCGGCTCTTCGTGACCCCATGGACCAGAGCACACCAGGCCCTCCTGTCTTCCACTGCCTCCCGGACTTGGGGCAATTTCATGTGCGTTGCTTCACAGACACTGTCCAGCCATCTCATCCTCGGTCGTCCCCTTCTCCTCTTGCCTTCACACTTTCCCAACATCAGGGTCTTTTCCAGGGAGTCTTCTCTTCCCATGAGATGGCCAAAGTATTGGAGCCTCAGCTTCAGGATCAGTCCTTCCAGTGAGCACTCAGGCTTGATTTCCTTCAGAATAGATAGGTTTGTTCTCTTTGCAGTTCAGGGGACTCTCAAGAGTCTCCTCCAGCACCACAACGACAATGCAAAATCTTACCCACACTTTATTCTGATAAAAATCTCCCACCTCAGCAGATGGCAGGCGCTGTTTCTGTTAATACAGCTCTCATCTCTTTGGCTATTTATACTTTGCTATATCTATAAAAACACAGAACTGAAACAGCGTCTGATAAAATTTGTTCCCTCTAAAATGAGACTCCCACCCACCAATAACCAATCAGATGGCTAAACAGGAACAATTTAAAACTTCCTCAAGGAGCATCTGAGTATGACAAATGCTGTATCAGCATCATGAGCTTCCTTTTCCTATGTGAATTCTGCATCAGCTTCACACCCATGTGCAGCTGTGGAACAGCTGAGAACATCTGTACCTGACACTACACAATGTAGTTTTTTTTATGATGGAGACAAACTACCGTATTTCAACTATATTCAGATCATCAAACAGACTAATGAAGCCTTTATTTACAGGCATAATATGAAACCAGGTTTGATAATAGGAGCACTCAGAAAGAAAAACACTGTATAGTTAATATATGTGATATGGTTTATAGACAAGAACACGTTGGTATGCAAAGTTCCTCAGAAGTTTTCAAATACTGTAGTGCAATAAAAATTTTGAGAACTGCTGGTGTATGAAGTGTATAAGGCACTGCTCACCTCTGGACAGTAAACAGCAATAACATAAAATAACCTTAGTGTTTTGTTTAATTTTCTCATCTTTTGTTTCCACTTCTCGCTGCCAAGCCAAGAGAGATGGCATTTACTTCTGCTTTATTTTAAAGTTTCCATTGTTTGTCCTCCTTATGCAATACGTTAAAATACAAACACTCTATAGTGTTCAACTCGTTTTTTAAAAGAGAAACTGTTGGAACAGGATACCTGGAGAAAGCATATTTATAGATAGGAGGATGTTGTAGTTGGCAGTTGCCTGACAATCATGCTGGCAGCACTGTGACTGGGTCCTTGTTTAAAGTCTAGCAGTTCCTCTTCTTTGACACCATTAACCACAGGAAACATAATGTTATTAACAGAACTTTTACTATCAGAAGAAGCCGATGCGTGCACAATAACTTCCATGGGTCCAACAAAACTGTTTAACCTAGGTGAACTTAAAGCGGTGTCGCCTTCACTCGCCTGAGACGATGGAGGGGATGGCTCACTACTTCTAACAACACCCGCTTTAATCGGCTCAACTGAGACGATGGAGGGGACGGCTCACTACTTCTAACAACACCCACTTTAATCGGCTCCTCTTCACAAGCAACACACTGCACAGAAACAGACAAGGTCCCATCCTCCAAACTATGTTTACAATCAGGGCCATCTCAACAAAACTTATGAGAGAAGGCCAAGTGCATCAATAACAATAAAAAGTGCATAGAGAAATTAAATTCTCATTAATATGACAATAAAAAGTGCATAGAGAAATTAAATTCTCATTAATATGCTGGACTACATAAAAACCTGCCTTTCCTTTTGAGAAAAAAAGTCAGGTATAAACATTTTAAATAAATAAATATTGTCTGATACAGCACCATTCTTAAAAACACTTACCTGAGACAATTTCCCAAGGTCTCAGCAAGCTTTCTGAGGAAGTGGATTTTGGCCCCTAAAAACTCAAATTGAAATAAAACTATTGGTCTTTGAAATGCTACAATGTTTTGCCTTTTCTTTGCTTGTCCCAACTTCTAAAATCTTCTTTTCTGCAAAGCTAGTCCACCACAGGGTTTACACAAATGATCAACCAACGTTCCCATGCTCCAGGCGTTTCATCTTTACCGATGATTTTGCCTTGACAGCCCAAGGGGAAAATTTGGAGTCCCTTGAGCATTAGCTAACCTCTACATTAGAAGAGCTTTCTTTTTTATAATATGAAGAAATATCTTCTAATGCAGATTAAGGAAAAACCTGCCTGAAGAGAAGGGCCCCTTCTAGCTGAATCCAAACCTTTTAAAAACACAGGTCTGTGGCTTGCACTAAAAGAACAGACGCAGAGGAAAAGCTTTGACTTAGCTGGGAAGGCACAATATTGGAGTACTGCTTTACCCCAAATTGTATTAGGGCATCTCTCTGACTCCAAACCTGACCTAAAGAAAGACATTGTGTAACAGCAACTTGCTGCCACAAGTAACTTATGTAAGCTTTCATAAACAAGAGGCCACATAATTTTAGTGGGCAGCAGTCAACAAAACTGTTCTGAATTTGTTAGTTGTTTGGGTTTGAAGTAACATTTATTGAAGAACCAAAAAAATACCCTCACATTCCAAAGCACTTTTAAGAACAGTAGGAGCACCATATCCACGGGATCAGTATCGGCTGATTCACTTATCTGTGGTCTGAAAATAATTTTTAAAAAATGACAGAAATATATACTTGTAAAGTTACCAGAACTGGCCAATAGAGGGAGCCGCAGACCACGCTATGTGTAGAATTCCCTACAGAAATACAGTATATTTCTACGCTATTACCAGCACTGGCCACTAGAAACCAGAGACCATGCTATGTATAGAATTCGCTTTAATCTGCGTTTTTCAGCAACTTGGAACCAATCCTCCACGGGTAAGGGATCCTACTGTACTATTAAAAAGCGAATGCCTATAATCAGCCCCAAACCTCGCCCATCCCTTTGCATCTCTACACTTCAAAGAGAACCAGTTCATCATTAAAAACTCTATGGTTTCCACGATTGACGTCACATCCTGCGAACTCGTCCAGGAAATCACGTCGTTCCTTCTTTTTCCCCTGCTCCCGACATAGAAGTCGGGAGTACGAAGCGGACCGCTTGGTCGCTATGGAGACAGTCGACAGCCGCCTATCTCTGTCAGCAACGCTGGAAGCTTTCAACGCTCTTCTTCAACGGAAGGCCGGCGAGGGAGCGCGTGGCTCCGTTTGGTTCAAGGAGAGCAGCGCCCGGAACTTACGTAACCGTGACTTCCTGGCACCCCGAGCCGCTCTCAGGGTGATGTTCGCAGATGGACAGGTAGGGGGCGTGGCCTGTGGGGGGCGAAAGGGGGCGGGAGGGGCGGGGCACTAAGAGAGTGCCTTGGAAACCGGACGTTCTAGGAAGGACTGGAGAAGTCGCTGTTGTGACGCTCTCTTAATGGGGCGGCTAAACAGATTGTTGTGGATCAAATGTAACAACCTGTGATGCATCTGGAAGACTAATAAAAATGTATTGTGCCTTTGGTGGACTATTGCCCAATTTTGCCCTGAATTAATTATCTTAAATTGGCAGAAAATTCTTAACACAAATACTGTATTATTATTGAGAATTGGTTTGTAAAGGTCATCATCCCTGCCTTTCCAAAATTAGTGATGAGACTTGTAATCCGGTAATATCTGAAGAGTTGCACTTTGCTGATCCCTGATTTATATCATGCTACCTAGAGTTGCTTAGACAAATTTGAGCTAGGAATTGCTATTCCATTACTTACGTAGCAAACATTTCTATATGCTAGTATACTGTCTTACTATACAGTACTTATACGTAACATATAAGATAAAATTGTCTAGGCTGCTGCTAGGTTTTATTGCATTTTATAATTCGTATAAAGTATTTTATTGCTGTATGTGCTCTGGGTCTCTGGAGACAGGAATGGTATATAAACGAAATACATACATACAGTACATTGTATTTTTGTCTACCACATGGTGAATTGTTTTGTTTCTGTATGTGAGTAGCTAACCCCAGAAAGAAGCCAACTCTATAGTACTTCGTTTTCTCTTTCTTTCTTTCTCTCTCTTTCCTTTCTTGTATTGTAATAGGTTCCCAATGACATGGTTGAGAGTATGGTCTCACTAAAATGCCCAAGGGTGCCACCCATCCAGAGCTGCCAGATGGCCCCAGCTGGACTTACTGTGAAGTTAGCTAGACCTGCTGTTTTTGAGCAGATCCTGAAAGCCATTCCTGTGTATACAACGCCTCTCCAGGCAGCCCACGAGCACAGCATCCTCCTCAACTGTGTGCCCCTCCATGGCTGCAAGGACCTCGACTCTCTCAGCCTGAATGACCTAAGAACCATCCTAGTCACGGACCACCTGGCAGGCATGCTGCAAGCTCAAGGGTTAGTGGAAGGAATAGTTCTCAATGTCAGGATCTTGAAACATGCATGCCTTGTTAACTGTCCTCTTCCAGCCCCCCCCCCACCCCTCGTTGTTTTAAA